GAGAATGTTTAGGGCAGTGAAACTACTCTGTATGACACTGTAATGGTGAATACGTGGCATCCCATAGAGCTATACAACACAAATGTATAAAGTAAAAATCAAGTTAATAATAATATATAAATATAGGTTCATAATTGTAACAAATGCACTACATTGTATGACACTGTAATGGTGAATACGTGGCATCCCATAGAGCTATACAACACAAATGTATAATGTAAAAATCAAGTTAATAATAATATATCAATATAGGTTCATAATTGTAACAAATGCACTACATTAATGTAACATGTTAATAATAAGAGAAACTGTGTATGTGGAGGGGGGAGGGTATGGGATCTGTACTTTATGCTCAATTTCTCTGTAGACCTAAAACTGCTATAAAAATAAAATATATTACAAAAAAAATCTGGAAAGTGATTTCCATAGGGCAACACATACCCGCATAATGTTCTTTAGAAAGTTCTCATGTACCTCCAAGAGTGTGGGGCACAAATGCCATGTGAAGATCCTTGAGCTGAGCCAACAGTGCAAAGGCACAAGGTCTAGATGGGGCAGCACGTTATCTCTGTCCACTTCCTGGACTTTTTCTTGGACCAAATAAACTTGGTGGGCTGGGGCTTTGTCAGACTACGAGAGTAGGTGTATCCATGGTGAAAGCTGGGTACTGATGCTTTCAAACTCGACATACACGCTCCAGTTGCTGGAAGTAATGACATTCACAGCACAACCATGCAAATCAATCACATGCTAAATTGCTCACTGTGGATTTCTTTCTTTTCGCCTCCCTCCATCTCCAAGTGCCCATTCCTTCGAGTCATTAGTTATTGATCATGGAAAATCAAAAATTTTCTTTACACAATATGCTTGGTAGTATTTTAACAGCTTTGTGAGATATAATTTACATGCCATGTAGTTCAACTGTTTAAAGTGTATAAATCAATGGTTTTTAGTACATTTAGAGTTGTACCTGGTGAACCTTTTAATCTACACACTCAAATCTTTCTTCTCTATTGTTCTTTTACTTCCTCTTCCATCTCTTCTTTTTTTTCCTCCATTTTGAACCTTATTACTTGCCTGTTAGTCCTCCTAGTTGCTATGGTTTGAATGCGTCCCCCAGTTCATGTATTGGAAACTTAACCTCCAATGAAACAGTGTTGGGAGATGGGGCCTAAGGAATTGACTAGGTCATGAGGGCTCTGCTCTCATAAATGGGTCTTACCACGGTTGTGATTTTTTTATAAAAGGCATTTTAGCGATTTTCAAGGTAAGCTAGAACCAGCACAACACCCCTCAGCTGCCCACCTGTGGCTTAAACAGGCCCAGGTAAATCTCGATCTGCTGTCCAGAAGGTACAAGCCATAAACCTTGGTGGCATCCATGTGACACTAATTCTGCAGGCATGCAAAAGCTGTGGGACCATGGCAGCCTTCACCTAGATTTCAAAAGATGTTGCAGACAGCCTGGGGGCCCAGGCAGAACCCTGCCACAGTGACAGAGCCCCTGCACAGAGTTCACACGAGGGCAATGCCTGGTGAAGCCATGGGAGTGGGGCCACTGCCAAGACCCCAGAACTGTAAAGCTAACAGCATGCATCTCCAGCCTCAATAAGCTGCAGGCACAGACTCCAACCCATGGGAATTGCTGGGTGGTCTGAGTCCAGCAAAGCCATAGGGGTGGGGCTGCCTGAGGCCTGGGGCTTCCAACCCCTACCCAAGCATGCTAGGGATGCAGAACATGGAGCAAAAGATTATTCTCCAGCTTTAAGTCCTAATGTTATTTTCCTTGTTGGGTTTTGGAATTACTTGGGACCACTTACCCCTCTTACTTGCCTATTTCTCCCTTTTGGAATGGGAATGTCTATCCAATGCCACCATTATGTTTTGGAAGTATATAATTTGTTTTGATTTCACAGGCTCACAGCTAAGGGAATTTGCCTCAGGACGAATCATACCTTGCATCTCACCCATGTCTGATTTAGAGACTCTGGACTTGAGACTTTTTAGTTGATGCTGGAACAAGTTAAGACTTTTGGGGCTATTGGGATGAAATAAATGTAGTTTTAATTGTAAGAAGGACATGAATTTGGGGGGTCAGGGCAGAATGCTATGGTTTGAATGTTCCCCCCAAAGTTCATGTGTTGGAAAACTTAATCCCCAATGCAACAGTGTTGGGAGGTGGGACCTAATAAGAGGAGATTAGGTCATGAAGGTATTGTGGGAGTGGTTATGTTATAAAGCGAGGTCTACCCCCTCTTGCTCTCTTGCTCTTGCCCTGTCTTGCCCTTCCACCTTCCACCGACCTAATAAGAGGAGATTAGGTCATGAAGGTATTGTGGGAGTGGTTATGTTATAAAGCGAGTTCTACCCCCTCTTGCTCTCTTGCTCTTGCCCTGTCTTGCCCTTCCACCTTCCACTGTGGGTTGACACAGCATATGGGCCCTCCCCAGATGCTGGTACCATGCTCTTGGATTTCCCAGCCTCCAGAACCATGAGTCAAATAAGTTTCCTTTCTTTATAAATTACCCAGTCTGTGGTATTCTGTTATAGCAACACAAAATGGACTAAGACACCATATCTATCTTCCAAGTGTCTTATATTTTCTGGACGATTTTCATCCCTGTATTGTTGTGTCTAAATTGAGCTATTTTTCCCACTTGCTCTTTCAGATTACTAATATCATTCTCAATAGTGGACATCCTCTTTCAATTTGTCTATGAAGATTTTAAACTTGAAGATGAAAGTTTTACATTTTTTAATGATCTTATTTATTTTTCACGTTTTTATTTATTTTGCCTGATCTTATTTATTTTCACGTTTTTCACATAATGCTCTCCACAGTTCCCTCCAGTAGGAGGCATATTTTTAGGGTGTTCAGCTTAGCTTCCCTTCTGGTTGCTGAAACCCTTTAAATGAGATGATGATGATGATGACGATGATGATTGCCTGCATATGGCTCACCATAGTTTTATTGGTAAGATCCAACCATCTGGTTAGCTAATACTTGAGAAGGCTAATGAGTGGTGGATGGCAGGGCAGTTTCCACTGCTGTGATTTGAGGTGAACCCACCAGCACACTACTAATTCTCTTCTAAGGGCTCTATCCCAGGAAAAAGCCCTCCTACTACCTTGTGGATTCAGAGCAACTTAGCCTCCAAGACCTGGAAGATCAGGCAGCCTTCTCCCCAGGACCCATGTAAGGGATACATGCAGCCCTTCTGGGAGGGGATGCATGAGAATCTCAGGCTTCACCCCCGGTGTCATTGCCTAGAGACTCTTCAAAGGTTAGACCTGAGCCTGCCAGAAACTCTTTCCCTTGGGAAAACAGGAAGCACTTTCTCTCTGCTTCCCAAGAGAGTGCTCTGAGAAAGACAAGTGTCAAGTTACACCTTCACTCTGACAGGTGGTGCAGGTCCAGATCACATGTAAAGGCCCTGAGGACTGTGATTCTGAGTGAACCTCCCTCCCTCCCCGCAATGCACTTAAATCTGCCTGCTGCACCTGGTCATGCTCTCTGTTCTCTGTGCACCGCAACCTAATCTCTATGTACCACAGGCCTAATCACTGAACCTGCAGAATCCTGGCACCTACTCTCCTTTCTCATCTCTCCCAGTTCCATTCTTCTGCCAACCTGGGTGAGTCTCAGGGATACGAAGGTCCTGCCTGAGGCAAGAAGGATTAGAAAATGGGAACACACAGATTTGAGTGAGGTCTCTGGATAGTGCTGTGGAGATTTTGAATGCCAAATAGATTCCAGTATGGGGGCTGTCTCATATAAGGAGAAATTCAACTCAGAGCTATAGACACAGGTTCTCTCCATCATACATGTTGGATGTTTATTTCTTAGCTAAATGACCAATATATTATCTTCTTTTCAGTGTTTGGTAAAGGCAAGGTAGGGGAGAAAATGTCTTCCCCGAGGCTGTCAGGGACACCAGCAAAGCTTGGAGGGGCCTCTTGAGAGGAATAAAAAGAAACTCAGGTCTCTGGTCCCCCAGGTCTTCTTCCTCCCTGACGAATGAGGCACATCAGGGGCCACTCAGGGCCCGTTGTTTCGCCCACTCATCTCCATGGCTATTGAGGATACTGGTCTCCTCCAGAACCAGTTAGAGCTCCTGGGGCGGACTCCATGATTCCCTGGAGTTCCTGGGCCAAGGTTGGGGCCATGGGGAGAGTAGACGGCTGTGTCAAAAGTGTTTCTCAGGGACAGGCTGTTCCTCTGGAAAAACAGAAGTCAACAGTTTTAGAATTTTATCCCCTTCTCCCAAGCCTTCACCATGAACTTCTTCTAGAATTTTCTCTCCTACAAGCATCTCCCTCACCTGGAGCTCCTCTTTCCAGTCTTTATTCCTTCTTCAGCCCCTGTATCCCACAGGTCAGTAGTTTCCTCCACACATAGATTGGCTCCTCTGGTTCCAACTTGCTATTTCTCTTTGTAACTATCTCCTGATCTCCCTTTCTTCCCTACCACCCTTGGCTTGGGGCCCCTACTATTCACACCCCATTTCTTTTTGTTCCTACTGCTTTTTCCTCCAGGTATCTTCCTACATGTTAGGCACTCACCACACAGAAGAAGAGCCCAACAAAGAGCCCCACAGCCACTACAACCGAGAACAGGGTGATGAGGAAGATTTCCCATGGCTTCAGGGACCCAGCAGGCTTCATCTCACTCACTGGACTAGCAACACTTGTGCTAATTCTATTGGAAGTTGTGAACACTCCAGTTGGAGCAGGTGTCACAGAGCCTCCAGAGGTTGCATTGGATCCAGAGTTGGAGGTTGTGCTAGTCCCACCAGAGATCACACTAGATGTAGTATTGGTGGCTGTGCTGCTCCCACCAGGGGTTGTGCTGGATGCACTGTTGGTGACTGTGTTGTTCCCACTGGATGCCACACTGGATCCAGCATTGGCTGTTGTGGTGGTCTCACTGGAAGCTTGGTTGATTGCAGTGGAGGTAGATATCTTCTTCCTCCCTGACGAATGAGGCACATCAGGGGCCACTCAGGGCCCGTTGTTTCGCCCACTCATCTCCATGGCTATTGAGGATACTGGTCTCCTCCAGAACCAGTTAGAGCTCCTGGGGCGGACTCCATGATTCCCTGGAGTTCCTGGGCCAAGGTTGGGGCCATGGGGAGAGTAGACGGCTGTGTCAAAAGTGTTTCTCAGGGACAGGCTGTTCCTCTGGAAAAACAGAAGTCAACAGTTTTAGAATTTTATCCCCTTCTCCCAAGCCTTCACCATGAACTTCTTCTAGAATTTTCTCTCCTACAAGCATCTCCCTCACCTGGAGCTCCTCTTTCCAGTCTTTATTCCTTCTTCAGCCCCTGTATCCCACAGGTCAGTAGTTTCCTCCACACATAGATTGGCTCCTCTGGTTCCAACTTGCTATTTCTCTTTGTAACTATCTCCTGATCTCCCTTTCTTCCCTACCACCCTTGGCTTGGGGCCCCTACTATTCACACCCCATTTCTTTTTGTTCCTACTGCTTTTTCCTCCAGGTATCTTCCTACATGTTAGGCACTCACCACACAGAAGAAGAGCCCAACAAAGAGCCCCACAGCCACTACAACCGAGAACAGGGTGATGAGGAAGATTTCCCATGGCTTCAGGGACCCAGCAGGCTTCATCTCACTCACTGGACTAGCAACACTTGTGCTAATTCTATTGGAAGTTGTGAACACTCCAGTTGGAGCAGGTGTCACAGAGCCTCCAGAGGTTGCATTGGATCCAGAGTTGGAGGTTGTGCTAGTCCCACCAGAGATCACACTAGATGTAGTATTGGTGGCTGTGCTGCTCCCACCAGGGGTTGTGCTGGATGCACTGTTGGTGACTGTGTTGTTCCCACTGGATGCCACACTGGATCCAGCATTGGCTGTTGTGGTGGTCTCACCAGAAGTTGGGCTGGTTGCAGTGGGGGTAGACATGCCAGAGGCAGTGGAGGTCATGTTGGGTCCAGCATTGGCTGTTGTGGTCTCACTGGAGGTTATTCCTGAAGATAATCATAAATAATCATAAATATATATTGAGTATATGTACTTTCTGCTCAATGCTTGGTTAAATTTATTACATGGTAATTCTATTTAATGTTCACTATAGCCCTATAACATAGATACTATTATTATTACCAGCAAGACGAAGAAACTAAGCTTAGAAATGTTAATGCTTATCCTAATTTAGACAGTTAGTAAGGAATGGACCAGGCAATTGAACCCAGGATATCGAATGTGCACTTCTAGGTACTAAGCTGAGGAACCCTCCCACCCACCCCCATGGCCAGAGTCACAACACCTAGGTTTGCTAGTAGATAAGCTTGTTCCATATTCTGCTATACAAAATCCAATACAGATAAAAACTATCATAAAGGAATTATATGACAGGGTGAAACTTGTGTATATTGATTAAGTCATTTTAAAAATAGTATTGCTCCCGGGCCGGCCCAGTGGTGCACTGCTACAGTGCGCAGCTTGGGAAGTGCGGCGGCGCTCCCACCGAGGGTTCAGAT